TCCATGAGTTTGGACTTTGTGTTTGGCCTGCCGAAAGATTCGGCGGGCAACACGGATGTCGTGGTATCGTCGACCGGTTGAGCAAGATGGCTCTTTTGGTGGCAGTACCAGACACCATCGACGGAGTCGGTACAGCAACGCTGTTTGTTTGTGTGTGTTTCTCGACAACACGGAGTCGCAGAGTCGATTGTCTCTGATAGAGATCCCCGTTTCACTAAAACGTTTTGGTCGACTATCTTTAAGGTGCTCGGCACCACGTAAGATATGTCGACAGCGGATCATCCACAGACCAATGGTCAAACCAAAAGGGTGAACCGCGTCAACGAGACGTTCTTCTCGGCGTTCGTGCCAAGACGCCGAGCGCCATGTTGCCATTCGTAGAGTTTGCACTGAATAATGCAGTGCATGCGTCTACCAGCTACACGCCGTTCTACGTGAACGGGCTGATTCACCCTCGCGTCCTGCTGACGCCGCCACCCCATGGCTCAGGGCTTGGTGGGGGAGGAATAGCCGATCGGTTAGCTGATGTCAGCCCCGAGCTCTTGCGGTCTAAGACACAGAGCTCGTGGGAGCATTAGGAATTGTTAATCCATACGTCGCAGGGCGACAATCTGAAGGAAGTCGACGGCGTGCCTTGAGTTTGGCAAACTCAAAGCGGAGGTGTTGCTCCACACGCACGTCCACTTCCTTGTGGCTCAACTGCAGGTTATGAGGAAAGTTTTCGGTGTCGTAGCACCCATCGCCCAAAGAGCGCTTCGTCATCTGTAGTGCTTCCACCAGGGGCGAGCACTGCATGTATTGTCCGCATTGCTGGTACACGAGAGCCTCCTCGTTGAGCAGTTAGACGAGTGAGAAAATCGTTTAGTGAAATTTCTTGTGGGACCAAAAAACGAGCTTGAAGAGCTTTCCGTGTGGCAAGCGTCCTTCGCTTCCAAAGTGGGATCCGCAGGGCGAAAGCCATATTCCACACGAGGGTCAATGATCGACCGTGGATCGGCGCGCATCAGAGCCGCCTTACGGGCAGCTTCAACCTGCCGCCTCTGTTCCCGTCAAGGTCATTGGTGATTACACCACGTTCCACAATTGACGAGAAGTCACGGAACGGACATGGGGTCCGCAAGGCGCGAGCAGGGCTCGTATCACTCTGCTGGTGAAGCTCGCCTTCCCCGTCACCCCATGCGGGAAAAGAGATGTCAGACTCATAATCGACTACATCCTCAACGAGGCCACTCGGCACTGAGAGCGTGCGCAGAGCGCGACGTATGTGCTCATCCAGCCTAGGATATTACCGCGGACGCACTGTCCGGCATCGCAATGCGTGGGGGGACGATGTTGGGCTCTGCCCGTGCTCGCTGTCGGAACCAGCGAGACTTGATGGTTTCCGTGTCGTGCACACAGGGCTCATCGAGCAAGCATGTAGTTAAACTCCAAGAAATTGAGTTGTAGTGTCTAACGGACACGCGAGCCTCGTTGAGGCAATAATTGATTAGAACTGTAAATGCTTTCAATCTTAATGGGGGAAGGTGTAACGGGGTTACACGAACCATGATAACAGGAGTGTGTGTTACACGAGATGTGCACGATGTGACCACACACCCAAACAAGAATACGGTACGGGGCTAGGTAGCCAGTAGTTATGCATGTATATTTAGTATTTTTTAGAAGATCTAACCTTTTAACATTAGGATAAAAAATAAATAAAATTCAGTCTGGAATTTTAACCGAAGAGTCGATTAGTCCTGGGAAGGCAATTACATTCTTGGAGTAAGCGGATCGCGATGCGCTAACTCAAACTTGGATCTTGTAAAGAACGAAAGGTCGGTGGCCTAAAGTACGCTTACTCAAGCGTTTTGCTACGGCAGCCTCGCTGTAGGATAGATATAGATTCGATACAGGGTCATGCATATGCAAGATGCGGTCTAAACAGTTGCGTCGCCAAGTTGCCCATGCGTTTGGCAGCCCCTGATGCAAAACTAAGATACCATATGATAATCCTACTTTTGAAGTGATCGCTGCAAATAGCCAATTTGAAAGCATATCCAAGTTGCCAGTATTTAACGATTAGCGGGGTGTTTAACTCTCACTTCGTTTTGCCTCGCGCTTTAAACAAATTAAAGTGGATACGACACCATACTGTTTCCTCGTCAAAATATAACGCAGTATTTGATTCTAAAGCCCAATAATTCTAATAAAGCAAACTCCGATGCAGGAGCAACAGACAAGGTGGATCTTTTGAAACGAGGTCGCGGTATTTTTTGGACAAAAATACAAGTTTCGTAGGACTTTTGAGAAATGCCGGTGTCTTCTCTCACCCAATGCTACAATGATGGATGCAATCATGAGCTGAGATACTATCAGTACTAACTCAATCATTTCATTGTCTTGCAAGATCGTGCGTATCTACTCTTTACTCAAGCATAACGAAAGCAATTGTCAGAGTAGATTTAAATGTCTCGTTATACTTGTCCAGTCACTCCATATCAGGTTTAAAATTGGGTGCTAGAAACCCGTGAAGCTTGGCTATTCTGTGCGGTGGCCACGTTTATCGTTTACGGTACCATTTCCCGATGATAAATTGAAAAACAGGCCTGAACCATAAGTCAAGTCACCCAGACACACAATATTTTTTCAAGCTATACACTTTTATGGCTTTGTTACTTTGTTGATACTGAACGATATATTTATAAGCAGCTTTTTATTTATTGCTCACACTTCCTTCTTACACGTGCAAGATATTTGTTTATGCAGATAATCCCTACGACGTTTTAAACAGACTACAAAAGAATCTCATCGTGGTAGCTCTGAGCCAGCGTCTTGTGTGGCAACACGATACAGTTGCGGATAATAACTTCCGGATTGGCAACGACAGAGACGCCAAAGATTGTCACGTCGCGAACCAGTGCCGTTTCCGCTGAATGCACCTGAATCTGCGACGCATTTGGCGGCTGGCCTTCAACTCGAGCCCATTGGCCAATGATTGAGTTCCAGCCAATGATGGAAAAGAGCACACAAGCGTGATCCTTTATGGTCACGCCTTCGAGAATAATAGAGTGGGCAATCCGGACTCCAGGACCGATAGTCACACCAGCTGCAATTGTGACATTCGGACCCAATTTTGCCGTCGGATGCACGTTGGCCGATGAGTCTACCACAACGTTACCTTCAATAATTGGTGACAATTTTCCTCCCGTTGTGCTTAAAGCACTGGGATTTGTAAAGCGAAAGCGCTGCATGTATAGCTCAGAACACGTTATTGCCATGCCAGGGGTCTTGATTTGACACCAAAAGTCACCCAGCTCGTGAAGGTATAGACAATGCTGATCAGCTAGTGGTAGTAAAATATCTTGCTCTAGTCTGCGGTACACAATTGTTGTTAGATTGCCGCTGTGCACTACAAGAGTCTTTAAATCAGTCTGTAAGACGCACCGAAGATTGTCGAGATTACTAAACTCGGGAAATAATTTCTTGAGATCGTACTGTGTATCGACTTCCGAGTTTGACTCGCTTCGCAATCGTTGTCGACTGAGTTTGTCGCCAACGCTGACGATTGTATTCATTAATGACACGTCAAAGAGATAGACGCCACAGTTTATGATATCACTCACAAACGTCTCGGGTTTTTCCGCCCAGTGTAGAATCTCCTTTGTTGTAGCATCTGCCACAAGACAGCCATATTTCTTGGCTTCATCATGGAAGACGCGTTTACCCAAAACTGTGCAAAGTCCTTTGTGCTTCAAATGAAAATGCATCATTTCATTAAGAGGAAAGGAACAGCATACATCGCAGTGCAATACAAAGAGGCTGGCAGGATTTCCTTCCATGATTTCGTTTCGAAAGAAGCGGATACCGCCAGCCGTACCAAGTGCTTTATTCTCGCGTAGATATCGAATCTGCACGTTAAATCGACGCCACACAGTATCAAAGAAGCGTGAAAAGAGACCTTCATCATAAGATCCAATCATCAAGATCTCTTGAAGATTAGGTACACGCGCACAAGCCTCTACATGAAAGTAGAGCATCTCTCGACCCGCTAACTGAAACAACGGCTTGGGTAAGTCCAACGATAGAGGGCGGAAATGATTTCCCTGCTGATTGGGACCACCAATGAGAATTATTGCTTTAGAATGAGGAAAGTGTGCATCATTTGCCCCGCCAACTGCGGCCACCCCTGACGACAACATGCCAAAAGAGAAATCAAATTTTGATCTTAGTAACAATTATAATTACATAGAAATGTAATATTTCTGCTGTACTTATGTCTTGTCAATATAATCCAAGCTATGCAGTTCACGGAGCTAAGTGAACTTAACCACATGGTGGGGCTCATGCGACTGGCGTCTTGCAATAGCCCGACATTCCATGACCGGCAAGACTCGGAAGTTGATCGAATATTTAACTCGTCACCTAAGATGGAGTCACAATTGCTAAATTCATGGATTGACAAGATGGCAGCATTCAAGACGCAGCCGTCCTCTTCTGTGTCTTCTCAAGGGCTCAAGAAATCACCCAAAGGTTTGCGAAAACAGAATAACAATGCTATTCTTTCAGTTGCAAATGGAGGTAAAATTGCAGAAGAAACAGCAGGTAAAACACGTGAGGGAAGAGAGAAGAGTATTGCTTCTAGCAACGGAGCAAGACGTCGCACTTCTACTCATGCCGGACGTGTTGATAGGAAAAGCAGCTCTACTGCCAGTACAAAACATGGAGAAAAGGAAGATGGAACTGGATCTGAAAAAAAACAAGATAGTGCATTTACGTTTGAAAAGGAGAAAGTGTCACCCATTTCGTTTCACGAGTCGTCCATGTTGGATAAAGCTCTTAAGGGTTCGGCCTCATCCGCTATGGGTGCGAGGCCACCTATGATGGGAGCAGATGGAGGCTCTGTGCTGCATCTGACTATCTATTTACCTACCAGAGACGAAATGAAGATTGATGTACATCTTGAAGCCCAAATAATTGAGTGTGAAGGCATTTATTCTGACATGTTGTGTTATTCTTTTGTAGCTGTACGATGTGTCGACAGTCGACGAAGCTATTCAGGAGCTTTTACGTGTACATCAGGTAGAGGCACGTCAACCAGCGCTCTATTATGGCCACCCTGAATGCTATGAACTTCGACTTCATGACTCTGATGGCATTCCAGATGAAGACTTTCCAGGTTAGTTGCAAGATAAGTATTTTTGCTATAAGGATGTGGTGATAACAATGCTTTTCTGGTGATAAGCTCTGGATCGCTCAAGGAAGATAAAGAACTTTGGTGATGCAGGAGGACACGAATACTGCTTGTGCGAGCGACCTGATGCTTGCCCGCCCTCGAGTGATACACCTGCTGGTACTGCGGTGTTGTTGGTCTGGCCGCTTCATTTTTCACTTTCTCTTTTTATGATTGCTGTGTAGATATTGCTGCACCTGCTTCAACGGCAAAACCTAGCGCTGCATCTGCCAAGGCAACATCTGCCAATGACAAGGCATTCTTAAAAATCTTCATGTACGAGCGACATCTGCTTGCAGCACTAACACCAAACAATTTGACAAAGATGATGGGGTCATCATTATTAGGCCGAAGAGCGACGACTACACTGTAGTGGCCATTGACGGCACAACTGTCGGTCAAGATCTGCTTCCAACTCTTAACAAGAAGCATCGGCTGCAGCTTTTCCAAGAGCTTTATGTGCTTAAGATTAGTGAGGCAGAACGTGAACGACTGGACCTTGCAAGCGACGAGATCGATATGCATACTAAATTACGGCCACTTAATCTTCACGAAGTTACGCTCGCCACGAGTAAGTGTGCTGTTGTACTCGTGTCTATACGTTGTATATATCAGAGACTTAACTTCTGTTTCATTCCATCAGAAATCTTTGCTGATGCTCCTCAGATCTCTGCACCAGCTTCGGCAGCAGTGGGAGAAACAGCAAATCTTGACAGTCGTTCCCGTCCGCCTCCAGAAACATTCATGTTTAACGATGTTACCGCGGCAATGTTTAAGGAATGGCACATCATTAAAAAGAACAAATATGGTAAAAAGCAACAACGTATGCTAGGTATCGATCTGAACAAGATTTACAATCGCAAAGTGGGAGAGCGCGTCATCACATCGAGCAAGTCCACTAAGATTGTGCGTACTGAGTAGAACTTCTATTGTGCGTTTGATCCCCTATCTTATCGTCTGAGAACTCTTTCTTTTTCAGGCGGAGCGACCAATGTCTGGTGTGGTGTGGGTACGCTTCAACCAAGATCCGTCTGAGTTTCAAATTTACTTCAAAGACAGCATTGAAGAGATAATTACCGATTATACAGCCGACTCGCCTTACGAATGCGGTACGTTCCAAAGACATTTTCTAGACTTAAGGCGACCGATGACTAACGTTCATTTCAACATTGATTGTCGACTTCATTAGCCGAGATAGTTGCGAAGCTTAAGTACATTCTTTCGCGTAGAAAATAAGTGACTCACCACCGCATTTCCTCTGATGATAAATTTGAACGATAATATTACATGAAATTGAACTATGAGATGGGAATAAGGACAATAAGGACAATAATGATGCGCGTTTCAATTTTATTCCCTGGAAGTGTTTATTCCAGCTGCCGATAGATACAAAGCCGTCTTCTCGAATGCGGCGTCTACGCCACAAGCAACTTGCAGATAGCAAACAGCAAATTCTAGCGGTATTGCTACAAATACTTTTGCTCAGAAGCAGCAATCCACACTTTCGACGTCCAGAACGTACAAAACCGAGAAAGCCTGGTTCCAATGTAATTGTGACTAAGTAGCCGCCTACACCTTGAAACCACGCGATTTCCTGCGGCCACGAGCACGCTCAAACTTTCGGCCCTTGCTGCGAACATATGGCTTAACGTGGTCGTGCGTGTGCACCGACTCGAGCGTCGATTTGTGACCAAAGTGTGCGTACACGCCGCGGGCCTTGCGAGCACCACGAAGGAGCACAGTGTTGGTACCCGTAGGAGCACGCATAGCCAACTGGTCAAAGCTTAGGCATTCACCACCAGCTTTTACAATGCGAGCACGAGCTGTCTCGGTGAAGTTCAAGGCAACAACTGTGAGCTTAGGGACATTCAGGAGACGAATATCATCCGTGACTGTGGCAACCACGACAGCGATCTTTCCTTCGTGCTTCTTCATGAAGCGAACAACTTTGCCCAGGGAGAGAGGAGCCTGATTAGTGTTGCTCTGGTAGAGACGACGAAGCACAATGTCGTTGAATTTGGCGTCAGTACGACGGGCCAGAAAGCGATACAGGCGCACTAGTAGGTTCAGGTACACATTGTCTGACTTTGGGTTCGTGCGGTTCTTCTTACCAACGACCTTGCCACCAGCGACAAGATCAATACCCTGCACGAAAAAGAAACATCATATACAGCATGAGAAATTCTATTAGCAGTGATCGTTTAGCCTGCACATGATCGTAGCAAGGTGGATATGCCGAACTCTCGTCACTGCTTTACTTCAACTGTCTGCCTCCCTCAATAGCAGTTGAAAACCTGTTCAAGCTTTGTTGACCTGCTTTCCTAATTCTTGATATCGCTTCACGACAAGTCTTCATCATTTTATGATTGAGCACGAATGAACATTCACCGTAAATCGTCAAATATTGCAGATGTGAACTTGAAACCAACGTGACAAGAGACGTCCATCCACCTCCACTACGATCTGGACTTGCTTGACGCTATTTTATGTTCAACGTACCATTTTGCAAGTCTTAAAATTGAAACTTGATGAAGACGGCGCCGCAAAAAGACTGTTGACGGTTCTGGCCACGCTCGTGACCAACCACACGGGGGACGTCTCTGGTTGGCTGGGTTAAACACCCTTCGGACGACCTTAAAACCACATTTTTACAACTGGATTGCACACCAGATTGGTGTAACGATAGTGTGGCTAGTCATTGATTGGCATTGCATTTTCACTTTAATTTCATGACAGTGTTTTCCCATATACCACTTGAGTATGTCTATGTATCGTGATCGATAGCATGTTTACCTTCCTCATTATTTATGTAATCTCTAGACACAAGAAAGTGCCGACACAAGAGCTTAATGAAGATGTTGCAAAAAAATTCAATATGTTGGTGATGCGGCAAGAGAAAGTTGATATCTCGCTACTGCAGCAACGCATACAAAGCGTTGGAACCAAGCTTTGGGATCCTGCGAATCAAAAAGATAATGTGCCCGTGCGTCGCGCTGGTCACGATACGTGGGGAATTGGCAAGGTTGTCTTTATCTTCTGTGATGACTACCTTCAGAAAGTATTTACTTTCCCCTGGTTTCATTCTTGGCGAGAAGAACTCGTCCCTATTCTTAAGCAGATTGACATTCCTCTAAACCGAATTGTACGCTGCATTCTTGCTTCCATGCCACCTGGAGCCAACATTCCTGTCCATCACGACACTGGATCCTGGGTACACTTTACGCATCGTCTACATTTGCCAATTTTTACAAGTTCCAACATTGATTTTATGGTAGGACCTAATGATCGGAACTTGCAGCGTTACGAGCTGAAGCAAGGCAATCTTTACGAGTTGAACAATAGCTGTAGACACAGTGTTACGAACAATTGGAACCAGCATCGCGTGCACTTGATACTCGATTATGTGGACAATCCTTTAATACTTAACCCGATTGACTTGAAGCAAGGTACGATTGTCTGGCAAACACGTCGCTCTGTGGACCTGTCGACAGATTACGGCAAGCGTATTCCCCCTTCATTTATCATTATTGGCGCGCAAAAAGCGGGAACGACATCTCTGTACGATTATATTCTGCAGCATGATCTTGTATGGCCTGCTAAACGCAAGGAAACCCACTACTTTGATTGGCGCTGGAATAAGGAGCTGCCGGATTCGATGACTGTTGAAGGCGCTGAAAAGCACTTTCGATACTACGAAGACACATATTTTGAAAAAAACATTTTGCATCGATTTCCGTCGCTTATGTCAGGTGAAGCCACACCCAGCTATATACTTGGTGGAAAGACCGTAATTAAGCGCATGAAGGAGGTGATCCCGCACTGCCACAAGGTCCTTGTTATCATGCGAGATCCCGTAGAACGCGCATACTCGCACTACTCTATGACTGCTGACACTGAAGGCTCTGAGAAGCAAAAGCGCAATCGTGGCCATCATCACTTAGAAGCCCGAAGCTTTGAACAGATTGTTGACGATGAAATTGAAGAGCTAGCGAAACTCGGGGTACACCCGAACATGAATCCCGATGAATTTGATAGAACGGTGTTGCGCACGCGCTTAAATTATGACCACGGTGCTCACTCATTTTTAGCACGTGGCTTGTATGCGCTTCAACTTGCAAGCTGGATAGAAGCATACGGGATTGATAACGTCTTGTTATTAACACTGGACGATTTCAAGAGTGTGGAGAATCTCTATGTATGTATTTCAAATGTGATATTGCTTGTTGTGTACTGACTTATTCATAATGATGACGGTAGGCTACAATGGACAAGGTATTTAACTTTTTGGGCCTACCATACCACCGCATTAAAGACACTTCGGCTAAAAATACTCGAAGGTACAGTTCAATTGACGAGGCTGTTCGTGTCAGGCTGGCTGCCTTTTACAAACCTTACAACGAAAAGCTCTACGCACTTCTAGGTCGTGACATGGGCTGGTGATTGTGTGAGTTCTTACGATTATCAACAGCTTGTGATATTATTTTAATACTATATCTGTTTCCGTTTGCTCATGAAACAAGCGCCTTTGAAATTCCATGTCAGCTTCCTCACCTTTATATTGTGCCATTCTGTTAGCTTTGATTACTTGTGTAGGATGGGACTTGCAAAGGAAAAGAAGTTTCTGTAGTTCCTGCACACGCTTTCGAAGACATTCATATCCCTCGCTTACAATCATCGCTTCATAGTCAACCCGTACTCGCTCTACATCGTCTTCAAGCTGCTGTAACTTTGACTTATGCTTTTCTACCTTTTTCGTGAGAGATTCAAGAACAGCAGGTGAGGAAGTCTTAACCATACAGCGAGAATTTCTTCCATTCTGGTCTCGCAGGACTTGAAGCGCAAGTTGCAACTGCATGAATTCTTGGTGCGTTTGATACCATGCCCACTGCGCTTCTTCTTCACTCGTGATTTCTAAAGACTTTAGTCTCCTCTTCATGTCCTTAATTGCTTGTTGCACTTGGACCGCGTTCATCTTGTCCATTCGCCGCTGAAAAAGCTGCGTCGCTTTCGCATATTTCCACTTTAATTCCAAGTTGTAAATCTCATTATCGAGTTCCGTTTCCTGCTGGTTCAATGCCTTCAGATCTTGGCTGAGCTTAAGTTTGTCCGCCTGAAGACATTCTCGATGCTTTGATAACAGCTCATATTCTCGCTCCTTCTGAGTTTTTCTGCCCGCTTCCTGGTCACCTTTATCGTTTCTGATTAGCACTGAATTTTTACTGCGTAGCATTTCTACTTGTCGTGGTAAGGTCTTTGCAGTCGAGCTCGTCGAGTCAGTAGCAGCTTGAAGTCGATCGCGGACGTACCGCTTTTTGTTGTTAGTCATTTCTAATCGAGACAAAGTCTTCTTCAGCTTATCTTCTTGGGACTTCAAATTAGCCACAGCTTCCTGAAGTGTCGTAATTTCTTCCACAATTTGATGTTGCTGCTGATAATTAGTCTGGGACTTTTCCATGACATAGTCGAGCTCAACTTGACGCTGCCAACGCTTGTCCTGTGCATGCGTTTTGTCTCGATCGATATAGTTAGAACTATCTCCGGTTTCTGCTGCAGCCCAAGCAAGATATTTATCGGATTTGCAAGAACTTCCCTCTGTGTTATGGATATTCTGCAATCGTCTGCCGATCTCTTTGTTTTCCTCAGCAACTTTCTGGACGAATTTAATCCGATTGATCTCTGCATGAGCTTTGTGTCCATGTTTTCTCGCCCCGAATTGAGGTAGTGTCTTTTTTTCCTGAGCTTGAAGGTGAGCCAATCGCCGGGTTCGACAAGCCTTTTCCAGCTCCAGTCGCTTAGCCAGGGACCGGTTCTCCTTCGCAATCTGCTTTTCAAATCGCCGGCGATTGATACAGCTACTGCTTGTTTTGGCTGGTGGTGTTTGCTTTGCACTTCGTGTCTTTTGTAATTTGCAAGATATTGTAGCGGACTTTGAAACGCTGAGCACCTTACTTGATCCCCCAACAATGTCTTGATAAGTTTCTTGTTCGTGTATTGGAATAAATTGAAAAGAAACGGTCAATGTCGGAGCTTCAACCCGTTCATTGTTAGAATGGCTTCGAGACGGCACATTGCGATGTCCGAGACGCTTTCCGCCACGCGATCGTAGTTCGATAACTCGAGTCGTGAAAGGACATGTCGTCAATAAATCTTGCAGAAGACTTCGAACAGATATTGTTGCTTCACCAATATGCTCATTTCCTCGATTTCGAGAACCACCATCCGCTTTTAAAATTGAATAGACGGTGAAATGCACGTCGCCTAAAAGCTGGTACCAATCAGATTTTGTTGCCGGCAAGACAATACGAGGAAGCAGCTCAACTCGAAAGTCGGTGTCACCATTGAAATGACTTAGTGGATCGTCTTCTTTGAGACATACGTCGCTCCATATAGGATTAGCGGAAGTTTCGATAACACCAGTGGTTGCTAATGTTTCTTTACATCGGATCATGGCGCTCGCGGGTATCGCACTACCAGACTTTGAAAAAGATATTCTTACGAAAGCAGAAGGGTCGAGCCCCTGGCTTGTTTGTAGACCAACAGCTCGTAAGACTCTGCCTTTAAAAAAGCCCCTTTCATAATGTATATTTGTTGGGACTGTGGATCTAACTGACTCTACCGTTTTCACAAAGGTCTGCGGCAAATCTGATTCAGCGACAGACTGGTCATCATCACTGGTGTTTTCACGTCGAGTAATGTAAACGCTTTGTGTGTCCTGAATGTCAACATCATCGCATTCAGGACCAGTCTCCCTGTCTTGCTGGTAAACATCCGCATCGACCTTATTCTCAAAGAAATCATTTTTTTTATGCCCTTCAAGTGTGGTTACGTCGGTGTCACTTCTGTAAGCTTGGTCTGTCTTAATAAGCTCTATCTTGTCACAGCCTTCTTCGTGCTGCGTTTCAGGCGAAGCTGGGGGCTCCATCATCTGAGGCCGTCGATTAAAATCGCACATCTCTTCACACGTAATAGCTGCTTGTGTTTCGTCTTCGAATCGCATCGTATGGTCATTAGGTTCCCACCGTTCATCGCCATCGTCATAGACGACATAGTATCCTCGAGAGCTCTCGAAGTCTTTAACTATGCCTTCAAACCATTCGTCCTCATCTGTCCAATAGACTCTTACACGTTTGCCAACGCGCTCTTCTAACATCGGTCGAATGCAAAACACGCATAAATCGAAACGACTGGCTTTTTTATCGTCAAAAACTTCAACATCTTTTCTGCTATTCCTGTTCATTCATGCATATTCAAACCGTGAACTATGAGTATTCTTAGCCGGATTCTTGTCCAAAAGCTAAGCATCCTTATCGGATACCTTGACCAAGTTTAGCCGATACAGCTTCACTTCCAGTTTCGCCCCTAAGCAACCACCTCTTCTTCATGGACTTAACGAAGCGTATGAAGGATTTTATCCTTCCACCGGCACCCCCGAACATTAAGCCCAACACTCATTCTCCTGCTACTACTCCTATCAAGACAGTGCAGTTAGAACCTCCATCGTTAAATATAACTTTGAATGAACATAAAGGTGTTCGTCGTGCACCAATTAAGGACGATGCTGTGGAACCGGGAGATTTGGACAGCGTGCAACATATTCGTGTTCCCAAGAATAATCAGACACGAGCGATGATCACCAAAGCCCTTAAAAGTCACTATCTCTTTGGTTCGCTTGACCAAGGAGAGATCGATGAGATGATTGACGTCATGGCAATGGTCACTATCCAGGCAAGCGAAGCAATCATTACCCAGGGCATGTCGGGCAAGTGCTTTTACGTCTTGGAAAGCGGTAATTGTGACATTGAAGTTGACAGCAAACTTGTGGGGACGTACACGAACGGTGATGCTTTTGGTGAACTTGCATTACTTTACAACTGTCCTCGAGCTGCAACGATCCGCGCTACTACAGGATGCATCCTTTGGACTGTAGAGCGTACGACATTTCGCAAGATCATGGCTACCACAGCATCGGCTACGCAGCTCGCTCGAGTGAACTTTCTAAAGAATGTCGAGTTACTGCAGCGTTTAAGCAACAACCAAATGCAAAAAGTAGCAGCAGCATTAAAGTTACAACGTTTCGGTGATGGAGATTACATCATTCGACAAGGTGATGATGGCAATACGTTCTACATTATTGTCGAGGGTACAGTACGGTGCACATCTCGTGCTGGAGGCGGTGAAGCTGATAAGGAACTCATGACACTTCAGCGCGGCAACTACTTTGGAGAGATGGCACTCGTACTGAACGAACCTCGTCAGGCAAACTGCATAGCAGTGGGACCAGTAGACTGCTATGTCATGGACCGGTCGGAATTCACCAAGCTGCTTGGTCCACTCCGATCTTTGATTGACCGTCAGATGCGCATTCGCGTATTGCGTAGCGTACCACTACTATCGTCCCTGACGGATGACGAGCTCGATATTCTTGCTCACGCACTTCATGTCGTATCGTTTGAGGACGGAAGCGTCATCATTAAAGAAGGCGATGCCGCTGATACGTTTTACATGATATCGGATGGCAAAGTGAGCGTTCGGAAGTCAAATGTTGAGATCATGAAGCTTCAATCAGGTGAATTTTTTGGTGAACGTGCCCTCCTTTCAAATGAGCCCCGTGCTGCCGACTGTGTAGCTATGGGTCGTGTCGAATGTCTTACTCTGCAGCGTGCAGCTTTTGAACAACTGCTTGGAAAACTTGAGTATATCATGCAACGCGAAATTCAACGTCAGCAATTGGTTCAGCAAACTGTCCTCGGAGAAAAAAGTAACATTCGAACGGGAACGGCATCTTCCTTCTCACAACCAGGCAAGAAACTTCTATACGCGGACTTAGAAAAAGTCCGCACCATTGGCACTGGCACTTTTGGCCGCGTCATTATTGTACGTCATGGTCCTACGAATCAAGCATTCGCGCTGAAGTGTTTGTCTAAAGCTCTGATTGTCGAGACACACCAGCAGCAGAATGTCATGTACGAGAAGGATATCCTTGTCGAGTGCGAACATCCATTCATTCTCAAGCTGCACGAAACGTATCAGGATGCCAACCAACTTTATATGCTGTTTGAACTTGTTCAAGGCGGTGAACTTTGGAGTCTACTTTATGAAAAATCGTTTCGAGTTGCTAAGGGCGTTTGTGGTGCGTTTGATGTTTCAGCTGCGAGGTTTTACGCTGCAAATGTTGTCGAGGCACTTCGCTACTTGCAAAAAATGAAGGTTGCATATCGGGACTTAAAGCCCGAAAATTTAGTTATCGACAGTGCTGGATACTTAAAAATGGTCGACTTTGGCTTTGCCAAACATGTGCCGTATCATCGCAACGGAGCGCTTTACGAACGATCGTTTACGCTTTGTGGTACTCCTGAGTATCTTGCGCCTGAACTTGTGCTGAACAAAGGACATGGTAAGGCCGTGGACCACTGGGCGCTTGGTTGTCTACTTTACGAACTCATTGCCGGTCGCACCCCGTTTCAGCATAACGACCAGAACAAGATATTTGAAAAGATTCTTCAGGGTCGTAGCATGCTCAAGTTTCCACCAAAATTCGACTTGGATGCAAAGGATCTGATTTTAAAGCTTCTCGAGACGAATCCGGCGCTACGAATTGGCTCCCTAGCTGGTGGCATGCAGGACGTCGTGAACCACCCGTTCTTTACCAATGCAAAATTTGATTGGGCTGCTATGATCAATAAGACGATAAAAGCACCGTACTCACCCGCAATTAAAGATGCATTCGACGCAGGAAACTTTGATGCGTACCCCGAGGATACAAAGGTTCGCCCATTCACGGGTAGCGATACTTTTGAAGGCTTTTAAACAAATAAAATTATGTGACTTATCAATTTATTTAGAGGTGGAGGAACTTCGGGTTTCCTTGTCTAGAATTTTCTGAAGCCGGCACTGAAAATCGCGGTACTCTCTAGGGAAAATCTTATCGCGATATCCGAGAAATCGACACTTGACCCGACACATATGAAGGCGAACGACTTGGATGTCAAGCCCGAAGAACTTCTACCATATCGCTCGCTGGAGGAGGTCAGTGACGCATGCACTAAAGTTTTGTTGTACATCATCCATTGATTTTATTCCTGTGATAGATTCCACTTCGACATTTGCAGATTCGGCTTTTTGTTCTTCAACAACTCAATAAGCAAATTTCAGCAATCCTTGGTCTGGTTGATTTCTCGTTACCTATGGGCATGTCGTCCCTGGCCGATGGCATTCGCGCTATTCGTGCACTGATGTTCTTTCGTACGAAAGAGGTGCTGTGGAACAGATCCCTCGAGGAGACGAAATGCCAGCCTTCAGATCGTGAGCTCGAGCTTGACAGATTCCGTGCCGCTAAACTCAAAGATGCACACAAAATTGACGTAAAAGGCAAACGGTCTTTGTTTGGACAAGCCTTCGAGCAACTGAACAACCGCGATCCAAAAATGTTCCGCCTAGAGAAGAACAAATGTGCTTGGAAGACAGTGCTCAAGGGTGAGTTCAGCGATGACTACGGCGGTCCCCACCGCAATTCAATTGAAGACTTTTGCAACGAGCTCCACACAGATATCGTTCCACTCTTTATCAAATGCCCGAACGGGCGCGAAAATATCGGAACAAATCGTGAGAAGTTCGTACCGCGACCTTCGAGTGTCAGCCCGCTTCACCTGGCCATGTACGAATTTGTCGGCAAGTTAATGGGTCTAGCAATAAGAACGAAGAACGTGTTGGACTTGGACCTTCCGTCGATCGTTTGAAAGCCTCTCGTGTCAGACGTCATCACTGAGGACGACGTTCTTTCAATCGATCTGCTTTCATTCAAGATCCTTGATGAACTCAAAAAATTCGAGGTCAGCGGCGACCTGCCGCCAGAATATTTTACAGCTTGTGTAAACTCCAAATTCGTCGTTATCGGTTCCGATCAGCGAATCTACCCGCTTATTCCTGGTGGCCATCACGTCCAGGTAAAACGCGCATGAAATGTTGATGATGAGAAGCCTAATCAACGCCCGTTTCTTGAAGGTTACGTGGGATAATTGTCAGCAGTTCGCGCGCTCATTGATTCACTACCGCCATAATGAATTCAAAGTGCAGTGCGAAGCGATCCGTCGTGGTTTGGCCACCGTTGTTCCATACCCTCTTCTGTCGCTGTTCACTTGGCACGAGCTGGAAGTGGAAGTGTGCGGACGTCCTAAGGTAAACTTGCTGTCATTTCGCGGATCATTGATCTCATTCCATGGTCGCAATTTCAGATGAACATTGATCTTTTGGAACAAATGACTGTGTATGAATCCTGTTCTAGCCAGAATTCGCATGTGGTACTTTTCTGGCGCATGATGCGCGAAAAGCTAGACGACATGGAGCGATGTCAGTTCTTGCGTTTTGTTTGGGGTCGTTCTCGTCTCCCACTCAAACAAGAGGACTTTGATCGGAAGTTCACATGCACCAGGCAGATCGGTCGCCTGACGATTACTTGCCAATCTCGCACACATGCTTCTTCTCGCTCGAATTGCCACGCTATTCTTCCATGGACATTATGCACCGAAAGATCCTCTATGCAATCACCCACTGCGTTGCCATCGGTGCGTTCCGCCCTCATCTTATCACCGTCGGACGGTTTCACTGACTTTCAACTTCAGATGCCGACGACACCTCAGTCGCTCAAGATGCCGCACGACGTTCAGCGGATGTCGACGTAGAGTCGGACAACGACAGCGACAATAGCGAGTAGAGTTATGGTGCCAAATTCTGTACAGCTGAGACATCTACAACGCGCGCCATACATCATTTTACTTGACTAAACCCCTACTACTTTGTATTCAATATCAAAATGCCTTCCCGGATCGTTTGGGCGTACCATTCAACTTTGATATCACTTTGGTGGCTGTTGGACCATGGCATGGGTATTGCGACTCAACGAAGTCGCTGAACGCAACTTGATTGATGGTTTCTTCCGCGAGACCGAACGGGCATCCGCAGCTCGACTTCAGGAGATACGCGCTGCCACTTGCCTGAAATCATTCTGGCGAGGATATCGGTGTCGTTCGTTGCTTCGGTTCCTGCAGTGAGATGGCACTGGTGCGTTTTCGTTTTATTTTCTCTCTTATACGCCATCGGTTGTAGCGAGTCGTGTACAAAGATCCAAGCCCTGTATCACGGGATTCGGTCCCGCGACCTTTGTGCCAACCTCCGGGCGGATCGTGCTCAGCAAATGAGGGAGCATTTGTATGATCACGCGGCAACATTGATTCAGAAGATGTGAGCATAGTACCGGCTAGTATTGCTTGCCTCTGACGCGAGCGTCTCATTCTCAGAGTTCGTGGGCGGCAATCGCGACGGAACCGAGTCGATTTCTACGCTCGCCGAAGATATATAGATAGCGTTTTCATTAAGAGTAATGCTCTGCGCGCGACGATGGAAATAGACTTTGAAGCGCACAAGGCTAAAGCACGAGAGCGTGAAGAGAAAGAGTCTGCTGAGGAGTTCATGGCCGCCATTTTTAACGCCCATCATCTTTTGAGTACAGCGACACAACCGGGTATCTTTAGGTCGCCGTACGGCGAGCTGTATTCCGCCAAAGCATTCGATATCCCAGTTGAGGAGCACATTGCTGGTGCATTCAAGGTTAAAATGACCTTCATGCTTTACCTTCGAACTTGCTCATGAGTGATCACATTGTAGTCGCAGCGTTCGAAGATGATGGCGGACGAGAGAAAATCGAAACAACGAATGAAAAAGAGCGTTGACAGCCATGGGGAGAAGATCGTGTAAAGAATCATCCCAGATAAATATAAAAGCGTTTAATTGGTCGATACTTGGGCTGGGATCCGAGGGCAGCTATCGGAGCTTAAAGGCGAATAGAGCGTGCCGCGGCCATTCGGCAAACTGAATGGAGGAGCTCGAGAGGTCCAGGTCCCGCCCCTGCTGGTAAGCCACGATGAATCTCACATAGTTTGGGAGAATTTGGATGGGTTTAATTGGATTGGTGTTCAATAGAGGCCTGTTGGAAATGTGGCGAATCGCATACTTGCACTCATTATCATAGGGAATCCGTTGAAAGTAAGTTGCAGTGACATTGCTGTGATTAATTCTTGTTCATATTCAAATGCAGATTATTTGGCAATGAAGGAGGAGGACAAATATTGCATTGTTAATCATCTTGAGAAAGCAGGAATTGGAAATATTTTATCACGAGCTTTGTATTTTCGTTCTTCAGACACGTTGATGCTCGACGTACTCCTGAAACCGAGTGAATTTCGAAAGAATTCTATTGTTGGCAGTCCAGGGTCATCTAAATCAACAACTTGTTGGATTTTTGCATGCAAATCATTAAAAAAGAATCAGAAATCGGTTGCCTGGATGCGTCGGAATGCTCCTGCGTTATTCTGAGTCATTCGGATGAAGGGCCGACGATAACATCGTTTCGAATCGGTGCAACCGGCGTGTTGGGGCTGGGAACGAGCAAAAATTGAGTTCATCCAGCAAGGACATAGGTCGAAAGTTAATGAACTCGGGTAATTGCAGTTTTAAATCAATTGCCTCGGTTATGAAGGCGAGAGAGTACGTGCCAGACATATATATATTATGGAAAGAACACAAAAGAACACGCAGTCAAACACATACAACAGATACAGCACCTAAATGCAATTCTCTCAACTGCGCAATTGGCCCGTTTCGCAAAAAATAATGGTTCA